CCCCGGTTCCATGCCCCCCCCCCCCCCCCCCCCCCCATCAATATCGGATGCCCCCCCCCCTTTTAAAGTTTCTGATTGCGCCCCTGCCTGTTAAAAGTTAAATCAAACTCTATGCACCGATCGTCGAAATATTGTTGCAATGTTCCCCCCCTCCCTTTGAGTTCTCTTTTCGACCTCTACTTTTTGTATTTGACTGAGGAGGGCAACACTGCCCGAGGAAATGAGCTCTGTATTGCAGCTCTGCAAGATTAGATCAATAATATAAAAAAATGTTTCTGAGTAGCTTCATTATATAAAGTTTCTTGCCGAATTTGCTGGGCAAAAATCGGGTACTTTTTTTGTCGGTCACAAGGCGTAGGCCACCCCCGAGCTCTTTGAACCGACAAGCCCCCAATCACATGGCTTTGTTGAGATTTTTCTTTCTTCCGTGCAATCGCAGGACCCTGGCTGGTAATCGAATCAGCTCCCTGGAGGCATTTGCTTTCAAGGGGAATCCATCATTGACCTTCGTGGAAGTGAAGGGGAATCCCATCGTGTCGCTTCACCAGCAGGCCTTCTCTCAAATGCCAAAACTCAAACGCCTGTAAGTCCCTACGGATCTGTGGAGAAGGGATTAAAAGGCGGAGAAAAAGGAGAGGAGAGGAAGAAAAGGGGAAGAAGAGGGGGGTTGAGGGGGGTAAAGGCCAACGCCATCGTAAGAAGCCCGTGGGAGAAAGATGATTTCTGTCGGTGACAGTTGGGGAACACACTGTTCAATATCAGCCTCTCTTTCCTCATTGTCCCGAAGGAAACGAACCGAATCTAGCAATTTCCCATTTGCAGCTTTTTTCCCCAGCTTTTCCTCTGTCCCCGGGGACACATAGAAGGAAATTCCTTTCCCATGTGCATCGATTTTCTCTTGTCTATGCACACCGTATCCATTGTTCCAACTCCAGTGGAACTTTTCCCTTTGCCGGAGTTCCACCATAAGATGTCAATGGGCTACTCGTGTTTTCGTGATCCCTTCCAGTCCAATGGATTCCTTCACTATGGGCGTGAAGATGGAGGAAGAATGTTTGCGTGCTGGATATGAGAGCCCATTTATTAGGTTAATAGTCCCTCATCGTGATTACTTGCCGAGTGTAATGTGTCTGTATCGAACCATCAAGCTCATCGTCTCCCCTAAGATTGAAAAACTTGCGGTGCAAATCGATGCGAAACGAGTCTCCAGATGGAGCAGTGTACTTTCTTCTTTCTCTGCTGACATTCATGCTTCGTTTGGAAGCCCTCTTTCCACATTTCCTTCCGTCATGCTTTATCATTTTTTTTTAAAGGATTCTGTCGGACCTGCCGGGGCTGACGTCCTTCCCGGATTTGAATGGGACGAGTTCATTGGAAGTGCTGAAGATTGACCGGACGAAACTTACTTCCATTCCCGTGCATCTCTGTCGATTGACTCCCAAAATCATCTCACTGTACGTTTTATAATTGGACTTTCAAACATTGGCTATTGATTACAGGAATTGTTGTTCCAAGGAGGTCCCGAGTTTGTTCCTTGTGTCTGACGTAATTGGGGCTGAGATATCTTGAAGATGAAGAGACCGAATGGTTTTGAAAAGAAAGAAAGAAAAACGAATAAAAAAGCTAAAAGAAAAAAAAACTATGCATAGGTATTAGGAATGCACATAAGCGTTGCTTGGATGGAAAAAATGTGTGTGGGGGGAGGGATCCTTTGGAACACTGAGACGCTGTTCTCGTGCATTTCGTGCGGCTTTTCCTTCTAACTTTTGCTTCTTTTTTTTATGCGCGGGCACGTGTTCCCTCTTGGGGGATGGGGAAGGGGCGAAGAGGGAGCTCCCCCTCTCGATGCTACGCCGCTGGGAATATATACAGTATGTCATGGTGAGAAGGGAAATTAGGAATTCAAGATATCCCTGGAGGAAAAGTGGAATGTCGAAGCAGCTGTGGCTTTTTATACAATGTTTGACATCATTGCTTATACGACCTCGTCCACACCAGAAAATTTTCTGTGCAATTTTTCTTTGCAAGTCGACTTGCAAAGGAAACTTTCGTGGTGAGGACGTCTTTGAAAATTTCATATGCAAGACTTTCAACGCTCTGGGAGATTTCAAATATCTTGCAACATTCATCTTTGCAATCTTTGCAACATTCTTTCATCGTTCATGCAATAAAACTTTCTGGCGTGGACGAGGCCTGACTCTCTTCGCCAAAATGTTTTTCACTCGATTTAAAAAAAAGTTATAAAATTATATGCGGCGGAGCGACTTTTGTAGAAGAACGGATGCCTGCAAGTAAAGTGCATATACGAATTGGCTTCTTATACGAAAGGAAGCACACTCCAAACTTCATGAAAGGATATTAAAGCTGCGTCTGGTATATTACAAACTTGTGAGGAAGATACAGTACTCCGTATCAGCATTTTTTTTTCTATCGAGGGTGGCAATTTTGTCATGTTTGTCTTGATGAAACACCTTTTTTTTTAGGGAGAGAGAACAGCTGTCAACTTCCACGGTTTTGTAATGTTCAGTGCAATTAAGCAAGGGTGTCTGCAGGCTATTAGAGATACTTCAAATCTCTATTGAGCCCTTAACTGTCAAGTTTTAAAACATCCTATGACAGGCCTGCGGCAGAGATAAATTTAGATTCTCCCAGAAAAAGTAAATTTTAATCCTGAAATAACTCGATATTGTTCTACTAATATTATACAAGCAACTATTTATTTTTTGCCTTATTTATTTCATGCGTACTCGTCACACGAGTATACTCGGATGCGAAAGTGAAGGCATCGTTGCAACCCAGAAATTGTATCAAACAAAGCTTAACCATAAAAAAATTTGAAGCACGAAATGCGCATGTCTTTACTTCCTCTTTGGAAATGGGAGATTCCGAGTCTCTCTAAAGAGGAAATATAACTTCTTCTTCCGTAGATTTTGAATTTTTCATCGGTAATTCAATCTATGATTTTATTTGAAAGTGTTTTGTGATTTTATTTTACAAATCATGTGGTATAAATGCAGGACATTCATGTGATGAAGGACATATCTCAAGCATATTTCACTATACTAGACCACGATACCTCTCAATCAATATGTTCCGTAAATCATGCCGGTGATAACTCATTTTTATTCGGACATTTATTTATTTGTTTAAATAAAATGCAAAGACGTGTGATTGAGAGGTGAATGATTTTCCCGAGTCTAAGACTGTCTTTTGAAGGCGATTCTTCCCCGGCCTCGTCCTGTCAAGAAGAAAAGCTTTTGATCGTGACACCATCGACGATGCTTGGCAGGAGTGAAACCTTGAAGACTATGTGCAATCAAGCGGAAGAAAGGATTGTCTCCGTACAAAGGGAGGGTTACTCTCTTCCTCTTATAGCCATGGCGGATAAGGCAGCCTTACAAGAATGAAGGCGTCGACGAAATTCCATCACTGTGATGGACGCCCTATATGATTATATTTCTTGTCATACAGACGTGACGCGCGTGAGCACGATGGTAAATGAATCGAGAAATCGAATCCCCTATTTTCTATTTCCTACTCGGAGTTATAATGCATTCCAAGGGACCACGCCCGTTTGGGAATTCCACTTCGCCAACCAGGAAGCTATTGGATCACTTCATGTCACTTCCCACTAGGACACACTGCATAACCCAATTCCCCCTTGAACCATTCGTTCTCTTCTTGAGGAGACCTTCGCCTTATCACCTTAAAGTTCCGGGAAGGTTTCTTCATTTCAAATTATGTTGACGTTTTTCTTGGACGGCTTGTTCTATCGTGAACGATGAAATGCACGGTGTTGTGGATTGTGCAGGGACCTGAAGTTGAACGAGTTTGAGGAAGTTCCAAGCCTGGATGAATGTCTCCGCCTCCGCCTCCTGTCAGTCTCCCTTTATCATTCCCACCTGGCAATAAAAAAAGAATGAACGAAGCGTTTCACGACCGGATTGCCTGATGAGTCTGTCATATTCTGGCAGGGACCTGACGAGCAATCAAGTGAGGAACATCAGCGGTGCCAAATTCTCCAACTTGAGCGAGTTGCACGATCTCCATATAGCTTTCAACCACATCTCCGAGATCCCGGCCGACGCCTTCCTCGGACTCGACAATCTCCAGATCCTGTCAGTCTTCGTTGCCATCATGTCTGTTATTATCATTGTAATGAAAACCTTGAGTGCGAACCACAAGGATATCTGGTTGCAGGGACTTGAACAACAACGGGATCCGGACGATCCACCCCGACTCCTTCCTGCCTCTCGTCAAGCTGGAAGACATGTCAGTTTCCAATCCAGACAAGTTTCGAGTCCTTTTTAGTATTATCCACATCCTATGGAGCGTAGGCGGCGATTTATGCGGGCTTAGATGGCTTGAATTCCTCAAAGAAGGGTACTTAGGGGGGCTCAGTACCCTCATTATTCAGGCTGTTTTGACATTTGTATGCATTCAGCTGCAACGATAAGAGGCAGATGGCTTTTACCATGTTTTAAAGTGAATGAGCGAAAGAAAACAGCACATCACATTGATTCCACATTGAATTGACCTCCGAGCGTTGAATAGCCTCCAATCATCAAATCTAATCATCACTGCCTTTTCCAATCTTATTGAGGAGTATGGTTGAACCGACAGACAGATAAATGCGAACCCCTTTATTTCCTTATTGGAAGCGGGGATGGGGGGAAGGGGGGGAGAGAGGGAGAAGGTTGTTTACGGATGGCAGAGAAACCGTTTCTGACAGCCCCAAGTTTTTCAAATCGTTGCCTCTGCTATGGGGATTCTATGAACAGCGCAATTTACCTCGTTAGACCCTAGGAAAATAAAAGCCCTAAGATTGGCACGTGCACATGCCGCTCTGGTCTGATGAGGTTGATTCTCACCTCATAAGAATCCCTTATGAATTTGAAAAGAATCAGTTTAGCTCGATCCAATGCCCATCCCCTGTGTATATTCCATCTGTCTGCAAATACGTCAGATATATGTTAGTCTTTCTTAATTCGTGCAGAAACCTGGGAAACAACCGCTTCCCGGTGCTGCCGGAGAAAGGGTTGGAGAACGTGCGACAGTTGAAGGTGCACAACAACGCGGAGTTGCGAGAATTTCCCAGCGTGGATCACTTCCCCAACGTCCATTCCTTGGTCCTCTCCTACGCCTATCATTGCTGCGAGTTCCTGTCCACGGATGGGTCGGGAATGGAGAACGGGGATCAAGTGTCCGAGACCTGGTGGCATCCCGAGGACGGCCAATTGGATCCTTCTCTCTGGTCTCTCAACGAGACTGACATATGGCCGAATTATCGTGAGTTTGCATCCGACCGATGATTTGTGTGATTACTCGTGGCAACAGCTTGAGCTTGTGGAATGAGTATGATCCCTAGTTAAACATAACATTGAATCAACATTGAATCCATGTTGATTCAATGTTTTGTGCTACTAGGAATAACTTCTTGAGCCCCTCGAATTCGAGGCTCCCAATTAAATTTAATCGCAGACGGCAGAACCTACGTGATAAAGGGAAGAGGGAATCCGATAAGAAATGTGGTGCATTTAGTACGATCGTCGCCGTTGTGGAGTCCACAGATACAGACCCAAATGGCGAACCCACCTGTACAGCTGTCAGGAACGACATGCTTACCGCAAAAACTCTCGACCGAAAGTGGGATCATAATGCCGGTCCCCACCAAATCCTATCATTGACACAAATTCAAGCAACGAGTCGAGGTTGCGGCGGACATCACGGATGAGCGGACAATCCATCTGTTTCTTTTTCAATTTATCGTCCGATGTATCTATATGGCGAGTTGAAACGAATATAGGTCAAACGAAACTATGATCGTGAGAATGTATCTTATACCATTTTATGGAAACTGCTCTTCCAACGAAAAATACACGTTTCATCCTGTAGAGAGTATAGAGTAAATATTTTGAAAAACGCGGGGAGCCCGAGGTTTGCATTGCGCTCCAGTTAAGTCTCCTCGAATATTAATCTACCAAAGCCTTCGACGTTATGTTTTCATTCTATTTGCTTTCGTTTTTCTCCGCGAATATGGGTCGCGGGATTGGAGACTCATACTCGTACCTTTGAATTCATACTAGCTCCAATTATTGCGAGAATATGCATCTGACAGCGGAATTGAACGAAGTAATGGAGTAAATCTATGTCTATACATGCTACCTTCACATTGATTGGCATCTACTGAAATTTCGAATGACTTGTGCTAATAATGTGAGCCATTAAATCTGAAAAAATAAGCCAAGTACTGGCCCGAACCGTATGTAAGATGGTTTTTCCACCTTTCGCCTCTCCCCCGCGGCATGCCTTTCACCTGCTCCTGGCAGGTTTCCGCAGTTGTTTCATCAGGCGCTGAAGGACTGCCGGTTTGGCCTCTGTGGAAACTAGGTGGTCGGCGGTCGACGGTTCCCTCTCGTTACTGAACGCGTGTCTAATTAACAAAACGTGTCCGGTTAAAGTTATGCTCGCAAGGATATTGTTGTGCTCGAAGAGACCTTTCAGAGAAATATGTTTAGTTGGTGAATCGTTTGAGGCACTTTTGGACGCCCTCCTGAGGCATTGCTTCCAAACATGCGGAGAGATAAGTCTCATTTGGCCGCCTTCAAACCCAACCCTACTGTCCTCACGAGAGGAAACGGCTCACGTGCGCGAAAATCACTAAATGTCAGCCCTGCATAATCAAATCCTGGTGGGATTCTATGGAGACGAGACGATCTTGGCTGTGGGGACGTGTCAGAAGCGGGACGTGCGTCTGTCATTGGCATTTGCATTCCAGCCGCAATTCTCCAGAGTCCTCCGAACGATGCTTTGAGATGCTTTCACGCCTGCCATTGCCAAGTGCAGCTGTATCTTAGGAACGGATGCCTCGCGATTTTGGAGAGAAAAAATGCGTTTTGCTCTGCATGCAGAGTGAGTTTTTGTACAGGCATGACATATATATTGTAACGCACTCTTACGTTAGATTATGCTACTCTAGGTGCTACAATGCCTGGTGGCACATTTGAAACGAATTTCCCAGGCCTAACTTTTCAAGGGATGATCCAGATCATCAAAGTTTTAAACTGTAGACATCAGCTTTCTTTAAAAGTTGATGGCTTTCGTTATATACACTCTTAGAAAAGAAGGAGCGATTTCCGAAAAAGGGAGTGAAACTGGAGTTAGCAATTTTACTCTCTAAAAATGAGGAAGTACGATCGATAACTGCCCCTTTACATGAGCAGAATCCATAAAATTTTTGAGTGCGAAACGGAGGAGGAAGAGTGCTTTTCATACTAGTGAAAAGGAAAGATAGAGCTGAACGGCATTACTTCCTTGCTTTTAGGGAGTAAAATCGCTAAATACAGTGTCGCTCTCTTTCAAGGAAGTCGCTCACTCTTTTCTAAGAGTGTAGGCAAGTCTTTCGAAATTTCGACTGAAATGTCAATAAATGTGAAGGTGGCATGCTTAAGCTCCGTGTGACACCATCATTTCATTCAATTACACCTCTCGCAAATATCACTCCTGGCCCTGTGTATGGATAAAACATCCTTGACGCTAGAGTGCGTAGCCCATCTTCTGCTCTTTATGTTAGCAAGCTTCCCCTTTGTGGAGAAGAAAACCCTGGCCCTTGTTCCATCATCGGCTTGAAAAGGAAATAACATTTTAGACGACGTGATTCTTCGACCGTTCTCTGACGAACGACGGCGTTTCTTCCTCTTTTTTTCGAGGGAAAAAAAAAGTTGTCAAGAGTGCAGGATGTTGCCTACGAAATCTCGTGTCATGGTTGTTTTATCATATTTGGTGCTGAAGCATTTGTAGGTCATGGGAACTGTTTCTAGTATTCCGCGACTCCGATTCCCGGAGGAAATTAGGGAAAAGAAACTCAGTGAAAGGCATTATGTCCAAGACCCGACTGCCCCTGAGGAGTAACGAACGTGTTGACTCAGCCTCTTTTGTTTTTTATTTATATATTTTTCCGTTTTTGAAAGTGGAAGAAAAGAAACTAACAGGAACTGACTGACCTGCATTTTCGCAACAGTCCCACCTTCAGTTGCACTTTTTTACTTGTCTTTTAGAGCCTAATTCCATTCTTCAACCATCCTGAGTGAAAATTATCATATAAGCCAATTATGTCTGTCTCAATTTGTAACCTGCGCTGAGTTTATTTAATTTAAGCCACGCTCCCTCGTGTGAAATGGTCCTTGGAGAATGAAAAAATTCCTCCACTCCATGAAACTTACCCACGTAAAAGTTAGTTAGAAATCTAAAGTTCAAAGGCTTAAAGTTAATCCAGAAGCTTCCTTTAACCTTCTTATTGTTGAATCGAGGTCAAGAGAACGCAATATTTCCTTGAAGGAAAACCCTCAGACTTGTCTAATTATTTTAATTGCTCATCTTCTTGCCTCCATATCCATTCGCGTAGATGGATGCCAAGGTCGAGAACAGAATTCTCCCATTGGGCTGACAAATGGTGTATCATGCAAGAGTGGAACGAGGGCTTCGTCTCTGCTAGCTGAACTGTGCTGCAGTTTAGAATTATATTGCGTTCTGTGCGTTATCGTAGGCACATAATGTTAATTAAATTTCAGGGACTCACGATTTCAAATTGCAAAGCTTGTTTCTGATCTATAAAAAAAGAACACATCCCTGCAAAAGTCACTTTGAGTTGGATTTTTATACTACCAAAACCTTACATTTACTAATATTTATCCATATTAACCATCCATTTTTCCATTCCGCTATTCAAGAGAGATCTTCAACTCAGTCTCATATCTTCCTGATTCCCAATCAGAAACGCCACGTTGGTGCCACTGGCAAACTTATTATGAATTTAAAAAAATTCAACACAAGTTTTGAGTCATTAATAGATATATGATAGAATAACATACCAAGATCCAAGACAAGAGGGCTTTAAGTGAGAGTTCTTTCAGAAATCCAATTAGATTCCTAAGCGCAAATTCGCGTATTTGTATGCATATACTTATAAGGTATTCGTAAAGTAATGCAAGTGAACACAAATCCACACATGAAGCAGACATTTCCATGTTTATTGTCCATCGCAAACAATCTATGTGAACGTGGAGTATACTGGATATGCTGGGTCCACCGTTGATCTCTTTGCATGGATGGGCAAGGCGCACGGACACGGCATGTATCTTGGACACATTTTTTAGGGTCTCTTTCGAGATGTCACCGTTGACATTCCAGATGTTGTCTTTCAGTTCCTCTAGGTTGACAGGTCCGTTGGAGTACACCTGTTCTTTGAGGTGATCCCACGAAAAAAATTGGTACGATGATCTTAGAGGCCAAAAGCCCCGATTATTCTATTCATTCCCCAAAAAACGTTTGCAGGTGCTCCATTAGTGTAGGCTGTAGCATTATCTTTTTAAAAGCAGGGTTCCACAATTTCACGCTCGGTTAGAGTTTCAATCAATTTGTCCATGAAGCCTCAATACACAGCAGATGTTACTGTTTCTTCAAAAAACAGGGGAAAATGCGCGTACCTGACACGGCTGGCCAAACACCAACTTTCTGAGGATGTAAAAGCGTCTCAATGAATACATGCTGTTTTTCGGATGAGCAGAACCTTTTGTCTTATGAGCTCACATTTCCGGAGAGATAAAACCATCTGTCCAAAAATATGTTTACGTCACGTTTTCGTATTCTTAACCTTAGTTTGCTACTGTATTTATGTTACTTGATATTTCTCTTGCTTGTTTTCTAGATCCTGTTTATGACCGTATTTGCTTACTGCAGAAATGGCTCATAGACCTGCCAAAGAGCCTAAGGGTGGATTTTTGAACAGAGAACTATCCGATAATGCAGCTTTATTTACCGGATGTATAATGCATTTTCTCCGGAATAAAGCTGCATTATCGGATAATGCTCTGTTCAAAAATCCACCCTAAGATTTTAACTGTTGGTTCGTTAATCTGAGAAACTTATTTTTGGACCACCCCGTATTATCAACACTTTGTGGACCACTTAGAGAGCAATCCCCAGAGAAATTTATGCTTGTTGTGCCAACTTCCGTAACGATTTCTTTGGACCGGCAAGCAAATACCCTGGACCTCGGCTATTTTTTTTTATTCCGACAGAGATAGTCTACCAGTGCGTTTCAAATTCTTGTACAGAGCCTGTTCCCCTGAATCATTTAATCAAACACTTCACCGTTGAGTCTGCTGGGATTCGGAAAAGCTGAGAGAAAGCTTCCATGTCACCTGCATAGTTCCATATCTCAAGTAATGTTCCTATTGATGAGACTTCTCAACGCTGCTAGACACAGGATCCATACTTCAAAATCCCAAAATTTCAGTTTGACCGAGAAAAATAAATCCCGAAACAAAAGTCCGCATTAATAATTTTACTTGTGTTACTTTACGAACACCCTGTAAAACCTCTACGTAATCGTGACAATTGGAGGGGACTAGCTCCGATGGTGAAGATTATTTCGGTAACTTTCAAGTCTTCCTTCCCCGAAATATTGAAAAATCGGTGGGTGTTTGACCTTTGGGATGAACTCAGGAGCTTAATCCAATCGCCTTGGTTACATACATGTGTGAAGCTCCAGATAACTCGCACGTATTAGACATGATGGATAGCAGCCATTTGATGGGAATTCACGATTGGATGGTGTCATCTATTTCTTGATGAAAAATTATAACGCCCTCGCTTGAATTACTCCTCCATCCCTCTATCCATGGGTGAATTTAGCCTTGAATCTTCAAGGATGATAGCCTGATAAGTAATCTTTTTGGAGCAGGGCCGTACAGTGCCTTATGCAAGATGAACTCTGAGACCGATAAAATTTTCGCAAACCTATGCCTTCTTTTCCCCCTATTCTGATCATATTAAATTTGATGGGCAAGTTAATAAACTATGCCGACTCTTGAGCAAATCGATACGATGAGAAGTACACTTTTAGAAAATTCCGAGGTTTGGGGAGTAAAAAGTGGGCACACCGTGAGCTTTTCGAATTTACTCTCTTATTACTCACCAAATGCTCCATCATCGCTCGTATTGAAGTGAACACCTTGAAGTTCTTCTCCAGGCCACTAGATGGAGGTAGGGGTCTCGCTTTTCGCACAGTACACATAAGTTCCCTTCCCTCTTTCCCTGGAATCGTCACTCGCAAGATTGTTTAGTACCTCGCACGTATGTCTCTGCTTATCTCATTATAGGAATAAATAAACACGGACACTTCATCATTTGTTGTCCACATATTCAAGAAATATTCATGGAGTCCAGCCCATAAACAAGCTCATATTCCTATTGAGAACCCTCTTGGAACGCGTAAGATTTAATCCACATAGGAGATCTAAAATATAGAGTGTCCGTGAACTTCGTTCAATCACACCTCAATTAAATGAGGTAATAAGGAACTGATATCTCGGACACTCTACAGAACCTATAAGAGGTGGTCTACCCTCTGACGTGTGCTCTATTGAGTACAGTCGGAGGTAGGTCGACGCCTATGCGAAAGCGACACGCATGATATAGGAGAATTTTCGTATCTGCATGACATCCCTATCACTTTCTGAGGGGAGCGTTTTTACTCACGGAGGAGGAGAGCAATTTTACTCCTTGATGATGGAGTAAATTGGCTCCTTTCCCAGAGTGAAAGGGGGGTGAAACTGGAGTTAGTTATTTTACTCTCTTTTTTGAGAAAAATCGCTCCCCTTTTTCTAAGAGTGTAGAGGCATCTTTAATCACCTTCGATACGAGATCATCACCCATCTCTACTAGATGTCTCTCGCTGGGGAACCGATACTTCGTCCACATTAAATATCAAAGTTGTAGACTAATTTATGGTCACCTGTTTAACTCCAATTTCTCTTAATGGGAAATATGACATTTTCGAAAGGATGGGATTCAGGAGAAGGCAGAAAGTGATTCTGTCAGATCTCGTGACTGCGCCGGGTTTCTCTGATTTATGACGTATGATTTATTTGCTCGGACTTAGCAAGATATATGATTAAGGGGATTCTTAGTGGGTCTCTCTCTACTTCCCTCCCCCCATTGGTACATCGAACGATAACTCTATTAAGAAAATGGATACCTGCGGGGAAAAAAAAAAGTGTACTGACGAAATGATCGATCAAAAATGAAAGGGGCTGATCAGACACATTTCAATCTCGTGCCCTTACATAAAAGAAATATTCAGACCTCTTGGTATGGCAGTCTCTCCAGCCATCGACTGAAGCACCATTGAGTCCATTGGGACTCCACAACGGCGAGCGCGGATTCATTCTGAGATGTTGCCATGTTCAAGAAAATACCTTCACTCTTGGAATGAATGAATGGAATCACTCACGAATTCTTCTTTTGCAACCCCTCTTGCGCAGAGAACTTGACGTCGAAGTTTGGCAACTTAGCCGAGGAATTGTGGGGAAACTTCGGCGGGGGAGAGATCACTTACCCGTCGAACCTGCCGACGTACGCAGAGGATTACTTCGGGGACGGGGAGAAACCTACGCTGCCCGGAGCGATCCTGACAAAGCCTCGGCCGCCCATCAAGTGCATTCCGAGGCCAGGACCCTTCTTGCCCTGCCGGGACCTGTTCGATTGGTGGACCCTCCGCTGTGGGGTGTGGCTGGTGTTCCTCATGGCCCTGCTCGGGAATGGCACCGTCGTCGCCGTCCTCATCGTCGCACGCAGCAAGATGGATGTTCCGAGGTTCCTCGTCTGTAACCTTGCCGCTGCCGACTTCTTCATGGGCCTCTACCTCGGTGACTGCATCTTCCATTTCATTTCTTCCTTATCATCTCGTTGAATATCGAAACCTTTGAATTTGAATCCTTTGAGCCCTTTTGATCATGCAGACGAGGTGCCGGAGATAAACTCAATTGTCATGGGGCATGGTAATGTCTTATAGTAAGATCGAAAGCCCTCTCGGTTGCAAACTCACGCTTTCACGACACACGTTCTTGCATTCATGGAGGATCTCCGAAATTGATGAACCTCCTTCTTTACCCAAGATGTCTGAGTCGTGGAGGGTAGATAGATGTATGATTTCAAAACATTAGAGGCTCAAATTCTGTATCGTGCTAGAGCTTGTTAACAAGGTGTCGTCTGTACTTTTGGAGCAGTGAAAATGCTTCTTGAAACCTTATTTTTCTTGTTCTCGTGACTGGACATTCAAACCAGTCGATTAAACTGTATTGATGGTGTCTTTCCGGGAGTCGCGAATACTGAGTTAATACGGCTGATACGGCTGATACGGCTGATACGGCTCAATCAATATTGATTCAACGTCCGTACGTTGATTGAGAGTCAATGTTGACTCACTGTGATGTGCTACCTGGGCAAAGACAGGATTCCGTCTAGCCCAATGTTTCGCTCAGCCCGCACGAGATGTCTCTCTAAGTGATTTGAGACCTTGTCCACAGTTTTCCACTTATAAAGGAAAACGTCTAGCGCTAGCGAGTTCATCTATCTCCATCTCTGCCTCGAGTCTATTCTCCGAGATAAATGGCCAGTCTCGAAAGGTTTAAGTGGGGCCAGAAACTAACCCTTTGGTCTTGATCTGACCAGTGAAAGCCAGTCGTGGAAAGCATGAAATCTTGTTCTCGCATCTCTCATTCAGGCTCGATGTAGCACTACCCTTCAATAAACTTTCTTCTTAAGACATCTATAACTCATCTTCGGAGAAAATAACCCATTGTTTTTGCTGTGGTGTAGGTTTCCTGGCCGTGGTGGATGCGATGACGCTGGGTGAGTTCAGGGAATACGCGATTCCGTGGCAGATGTCTCCGGCGTGTCAGGTGGCCGGGTTCATGGGGGTGCTCAGCTCCGAGCTCTCCGTCTATACCCTCGCCGTCATCACCATGGAGAGGAATTACGCTATCACCCACGCCATGCATCTCAACAAGAGGCTGTCGCTGAAGCAGGCAGCGTACATCATGGTGATCGGGTGGACCTTCGCCGTGATCATGGCCGTTCTCCCTCTGACGGGGGTCTCCGATTACCGCAAATTCGCCGTCTGTCTCCCGTTCGAGACCTCCGATCGGCTCAGCCTGGGATACGTAGTATTTCTACTCCTCATCAATGGTGTCGCCTTCACCGTCCTCATGGGCTGCTATCTCAAGATGTACTGTGCCATTCGGGGGAGCCAGGCATGGAATTCCAACGACTCCCGAATCGCGAAACGCATGGCCCTTCTCGTCTTCACCGATTTTATTTGCTGGGCGCCCATCGCCTTCTTCTCTCTCACGGCCGCTTTCGGGCTTCATCTCGTCTCGTTGGAAGGGGCCAAGGTCTTCACCGTCTTCTTTCTCCCCCTCAACTCCTGCTGCAATCCCTTCCTCTATGCCATCCTGACCAAGCAGTTCAAGAAGGACTGCGTCTTGATCTGCAAGGCCATCGAGGAGAGTCGGGTAACCCGGGGAATCGGGAGATGCAGACATAGCTCCAATTTCAGCAATCGGCACACTCCCGCCAACACGGGAAGTCTTGGGGATAGGAACTCAGGGCAGTCTGGCCCGGCTTCCAAGGATGGACAACCTCACCCTCACCCTCCATCCTGCAGTTGTCAACAGGGCAAGAAGGGTCCAAAACGACCCGCAATCGGGAGACATTGCCCCAGCTGGTCTCGACTTCGTATCCTTCTTTGTCACGAGGGAGAGCAGTTGGTCTCCACGACGGATTCCAATTACACCTATCAGATCGCAGAGATCCAGCAGAAGACGCAGAAGCACTTGCGAAACACGTCCGTGTCTTCAGATAACTTCAGTTCCTCTCGTTCGGATTCTACGAGACAAGGAAGAGGAGGGGGGAACTGTGCAGCAATTCCTCTCCGACTCCTGGGACGCCGAAGGAATTCATGGAATCACGGTCATGGTCAAGCCCGACGAGGTTCCCAGGATTCTAACCTGTCAAGTTCCAGGAATGATTCTTCGGCTGCTAGCAACAGCACGGCGACGTGGAGAATTTCTCGTTCCTCCGTCTCAAGTGATACGAGTCGAGAGAGAGACGGGAATAATCACACAGCTGCCACATTCCAGAATCCGAGGCTCTCCAGCCTCAGACAATTGGGAACCAGTCAAGAGCGGGAGGGATCAAAAGTAGTCCCTCTGGGAAGCCCAGGAATCTTGAAACAGGGATCTCTGGAACGTAACAAGCCTCGACTCAAGAGACAGGTAGCAATCCAGGAAGAGAATTATAATCCCTCGCTGAAGTCCGTCTCCTTCGATTCACACCACCACCACCACCACCCTCACCTGTACCACCACATACGCCACCCGCACCCTCACCCTCATTTTGAGGATCTCATCGAGTCGAGCCAGGAAAGCCTGGCCGAAGAGGACGAGGTCACCACCGTCCCCATCGTACCCAGGAAACTGAGCACGATTTCCTCCGTGTCCCAGAAAAGTCAGACCCCGACGGAAAAGCCTTCCTCGGTGGACGATGCGGAGAAACCATCAGCCAAAGAAGCACGACCCGACGACAAGGGTCTACCGAAGACTCGATCCTTCGAGAAGAGGAAGAAGAAGGGCAGGGAAAGGGAACCAAAGGAGAAGGGAAGGGAAAAGGAGGGTCAGTTCATGAAGACATCCAAGAGCGACAACGTCTTGTACAGGCCCCAAGACACCGAGGAGGAAGAGAGGCGAAACAGATTCTTCCGACATTCCTTTGGTGATATCTCCGAAGACGACGTCTTCCTCAATGAAGACTTGCTCGTGCAAGCCGATTCTCAACAAAGTCACTCTCTTCTCCCTTCGTCCTCCCATGCCCAGAGCAACGACGAATACAGCTTACTACTCCCCCCTCCCGAAAAGGGGACTGGGAATTAGCTCAGAGCTTTCTTCTTTCCTCGTTATTTATGGCTAATGGTAACTGGCATCGAATTTATTTATTCCGCGACGATGATGCTCGTGTTGTGAGAATATTTATTCCAAAACTGAACTGCCAGATATGTGATAATTCTGATACGAATCTGTGTGCATTTCATGGAGAGCATTTTGTTTTTCTGTTTTTTTTTATGAATAAGATGGAACATTCTCGTGAGTCACTTGGGTGACACTGTCGGCCGTTCTTTCTGAACAGTGAACACCCTCCTAGATTCACGTATAACACAGCTCCGTTGAAGAGGGGAAACTCCGACGTTATGGAGGCCTTGAACGGCCTGTCATCCTGTAGGGTTCACGGACGAGGAGTGACTCATGATGGACTGTTGATAGACGGGGAATGACTCATGACGGCCGTCTCCGCAAACATGTCACGTCTTCCCATTCTTCGATTGTCTTCTTTGCTTGCGCGCGTGGTGATGCGTGTAGTAGGATTCTGAGGACAAATATAATGGCGCAGTTGAGGATCCCAACAGACGTCCCGAACCTTCCAAACGTTTCAAACGGCTCAAAACGTACCGAAGAATAAAATTATAATATCAAAAATTTAATTCGCTATTGATAGGCGCCTTCACGTTGCCAAATTGCAGGGTTTGAAGTATGAGAAGGGATCGGAGCAATTATGATCGAAATATGGCATTAAACATGACTAGAAAATGACACGGAAAGGTATGCGGTGCCAAAGCACTATATTTACAGATCATCTTGCCTCAGATCTTTACCTCGAAGTATGAATGTCATTGAAGTTTTCAAAAGAAAAGGCAAGAGCAAATGAAGAAAAGAAGCATAAAATAAACTGTCGGAAGCGGGAGACCGTTTTTCATAGTTGCCTTGCCGACTGAGACGAAAACGCAACCCAATCTCTCAAAACTCAATGGTTTGTCTAGTGATCTAGGAATGGGCATTAACATCCTATTATGTTCGAGTGAAATATTTCCATGGATGTTTGACAGTAAATTAGATACACCCTTAAGGATTATGTCAATATTACCTGTGAACGTAGCTGTATCTCGTGAGTCACGGCGATGATCACAAGAGTATTCAGGAGTTATTGCATTCTGTCGCGTATTCTGAGCAAGGGAAAGCGTTTTTTGAGTGGGATTCCATGTAGTTCAAAGAGTGGCTATTACCATAAGCGGAAACGCAGGCGGACTTGAAAGATCGACAATGGCAGGTATTGAGCAACGGAAATCCCAAAGCGATTCCGATATCCCGGTGCGTCAGCCGCCGTGAGGAGAGGTGAGGGGAGTCTTTGCACCCTAACAATGAAGGGATTTCCATTGAAAGGAAGATATGACCAGCTCACTTTTACACTCCCTGCCAGCCCCCCATTGTTTGATCGGATGAATCCCATGAAATATTCAATGGAAAGTCTCAGTCCCGACCGGCATCTCGGTCACTCGAGTCCTCCACTCCTTCCCGTTGGTGTCTGCGTAGCGGTGACGACTTTCCTGTGCTTGGTGGAAAACTCCGGTGTTCTTTCTCCCTCTTGCTGGACTTCATCCAGAACCTTTGTTATAGGGTTTATTAGCCGTCGAGTGCTTTCGTCGCCCTACTATATTCTAGAAAGATTCGGCTATGTCGATATATACTCATCATCTGTATAAGACAGGGTTTCTCAACCTACTTTCTATGGGGGTCACGAAGAGGAGTCTCCAAGATCTTCGAGAGTTCGAATGTTATGGAATTCCAGGACGTTATCGTGTTATGTACGACTCATGTATAAATGTACATAAAATGGAAATGGAATGGAAAGAAATCGAGAATGATTCGCGAGTCCCTGGGCCTATTCCTCGCCTCTGCTAAACAATCTAAATCTGAATCTAAACTTAATTTAAAATTGACATGAAAGCATTGTAATAAGCAGCCAAGAGAGTCTGTTGATCCTCATCTCAGTGTCGAATTACTGCTTTACGATTAGAGTAAGTTTCGATAGAGATTTAGTTAAGCAAAGGCGAGGAAGCTCCTGGGCTCTCAGAAGTCCCCAAAATCTTTATGCGAGTCCTTTGGAACCCGCCAGACAAAGGTTGAAAAGCTATGGTATAGAAGATAAGTCTTTAGAATGTACGCCTTTCTCTATAAGACAATTCAACCGGACAGTGGAAGTCGAAACGGAACGGTTTCGACTTTGAGACCTCATTCTCTAGCTTCTCCGCATACAGATATTTCTGGGAAGGATGAAGTGCGTGCTCCTGTTCTATTCGGCTGTCGCAGTCGCGAGTGGTCAATCCACGCGGCATCTCGGAAGTAGAGATGTCCGAAACTTTGCGAATTCCCAACTGAGCTCCAACCCCTTCCAGTACGACACGTCCATCCAAGGCCGAGCCAACGAGGAAGGCCGAGATGTTGCCAATTACAACAATAACAACGGGAACAACCAGAACAGGGGCGTCTTCCCGCTGTATTTGGAGAACCCAGAAAGGCCATTTTATTTGTCTCGGAGTCAGGGAGGGTCGAACACCGGGGAGAATCAAGGGAGCCAGGGCAGTGGGAGACAACTCTCCTTCGGATTTAACCCCTTTCAGAATCCCCTTCAGAATCCCCTTCAGAATCCCCTTCAGAATCCCCTTCAAAATCCCCTCCAGAATCCCCTTCAGAATCCCCTTCAAACTTCCTTTTTCAGTCCCAGTCCCGGTCTTGGATATCCTTTGACAGGTCCAGATAATTCTGGCCTTTTTCGCACTAATCTCGGGAATCCTCGAATTTCCCTCGGCTTCCTGGGCGGCAACGCATTGCAACCGAACTTGTACACAAACCCATACTCCCCGGTCAGTTCCTTCGGTTTAAATAACATAAATCCGGGCCAAGCACCGAGTTCCGCCTACCCCAGCTTCAGCAACTACCCGTACGGGATCAACCCTGGCTTCTATGGGACTCCGTTCGGCGGCATGAACCGATTCATTAATCCTAATCCCTTCGCTTTGTATCCCAACCTGAATTCTTACGCTTTTCCGGGGATCGTCGGCGGTCTGGCTCAACAGCAACTCGGTTTGCCTGTTGCCGCTACAGGTTAGTTGTGACAGGATCCTGTAACCACGTACTCTTTTTAAATCATTATATCTCTATGACATAGTCGCAAAGAAAAATGGAACTAACCAGTGCTTCTGCATGCAAAGGATAATTTCAATGCAATACCTTTTACCAGAGCAAAAAAGCTTGAAGGATTAAAGCCGATTAAAGCCCTCTTCGTTGCCACGTGTTCTGTCTTTGTATTTGGTCACGCTTGAGTCGAGTGATTTTATGAATAGATTATTGTCGGCTTTCGACAGTTAGCCATGCTTGAGTGCTTCAGAACAAAATTGCATGACAAGGAGTTGTCGTTTCTTTGGAATAGCATTGGCGCCTCCATTCGCTGCAGTCAGGGTGACTGCGGCCAACAGCGGCTTCCGCGACGTCTGCGGGGTCCTCACGTTCCAACCGTCGGCGTTAGGCGATAACGTCATCGTCACCGGGAATCTCTATAACCTGCTACCGGGAAAATCCCACGGCATCACGGTGAGGAGGAACGACGACAAGAGCAACGCCTGCATGAACGTGGGAATCATCTTCAACCGCAAAAACGTACGTGACTTCTCTCTCCCGCATCCTCGAGTCGCTGAAGTTTGGAATTCACGCGGACGAACTCGATAGGTGAGCCAGGGCGGATACGTCGGAGACGCGGCTGCGAACGCAGCCGGGGAGGCCCACTTCACTTATACCGTCCCGATAGATCGAATCCCTTTGAGCGGACAGGACACCATCCTTGGGAAATCCATCATGATCAGCAATATGCCTGGAGAGAAGGGGAGTCCTATGGCATGCGGGGAAATCACCATCCTCCCTCTGGCATCCTCATTCACATGCCCCGTCTAATAAACTTCATTCTGTTTCTCGATTTTCTATTATTCTAGGTTCTTTTCTATTCATCGCAACTATGAGCCACATATGTTTCTTGGGTTCTCGAGCCACAAACGCGCCCCCTAAGAGTCCTGTGCGCGTCAACACGAAATGATTCAGCCCAAGTGCTAAACATAGAAGCCAAACTTTTTCATTCGTTCCCCCTTCTCCCCCCCCCCCCCCAACCTCCCTCCCCGGTTCAACGATCACCAACAACAGGACTGTTTGTGCAATTCGAGTAATGAAGGCTCGAAGGGAAGTCGAGCCCGAACTCATTCATTCCCTGAATGTTTCAGAATCCTCTTGTGAGACTGCCAAATGCAAACGATAAATGGATTGGATTACAGATGGAGCCCTCTTTCCATTCCAATCGATTCCTTGTATTCTCTTCCCCCGTGGGTAAAGGGACCGATTAAGTAATCGAAAGGTAAGTGCAAAGTTTCCTTTGCAGCGCCTTAGGAGTTGAAAGGGTCCTAAAAACCACTGTACACCGCGCCTTTACTTACCGAGTCTAAATTCACACTAGACCTGGGATTCCCTCGATGAAAATCAGCTTTCCGATTCAGCGATAAGCGATGGGATCCTTGACGGATCCGGCTGGAGGTAAATCCTACAAAAATCCACTATCAATCTCCTTGGGTGATGAATGAGGAAGGCGAAGGATCATGAATGGACGAGAAGAAGAAACCCACGGATTAACATAGCCGTTCTGTCGGCCTTTCAGGGCCAGTGGAGCCGGGGCCAATGGAGCCTGGGCCACTCGAGTTCATCCAGCGGACGCATGCGGCCCCCCGCACCCATCCGAAAATCCATAGCATCAATTGGAAGGGATGAGAGAAAAAGTGGCCTATCTGCAAAAAATGCGCGAGAGAAGTATGGCTGGCTTAATGCACATAGATCCTCTTCCGTTCCGTTGAAGATGCAAGTTCTTGAGATTTGTGCCACGAAAATCTGGTCTTCAACGCATACGACTCTTTTTCTCACTTTTCAGAAGACAGTCACTGGAATCTCTTTCTGTATGGAGTTCGAGAAATGCATTTTCTGCAGATTGACCACTTTTCCCTTCAGCCCTTCAATTGCAATAAAATATCTAAATCGTTATTCAAAATGAGTCAAAGCAACTATTTAATCGAAGACAAATCCGATGCGACAGACCACAACGCGAAGGCGTTTCGTTCCCTCTCGATTATCACTCGTATTTACGCCCTATGAATTTTGATGAAATTTTACCAATATTTTGTGAACATAGAGCCAAGATACAGTAGACGCTAGGCGCAAAGAGCGTAGACATGCGAGTACAACGTCGGGGCTGCTTCTTTGGCTTGTCCTTATTATGGAGAGCATGGCATTTGGCATGTCAAAATATCGCAGCCTCTTCGTTTTCGGAAGAAATATATTCATCGAAATTCCCAAGGAACCGAAAATTTCAGCATTCAAGAGCGTTTATCTCCCTACTGTCACCTACGGTCAAGAACTGCGAGTCACGACCGAAAGTATCCGGTTGCGGGCACGAGCTGCCTCGACGATGTTCCCGCAGTTGGTGTTGCACCGAGAGAGAGAGAGGATGCAAAAGGATACAAGAGGATGTCCCGAGCCTCCATCTGCGAGAGCCTCCAGGTCAAGGAACCGAGAGATCCAGAGCCCCTTGGCTCCCATGCCTCCCGAGAGGCTCCCAAAAAGGAGTCCTCCAATCTAGAATGACCGGCGAAAAAAAAAAAAATTGTCGGTACGCCTCGTGCGAGGTGGACGGACTACATCTCGAATCTTTGCCACGAGAGGCTCTGTACAGGCACCACCTGTCGAGCTCGACTTCGTTGCCTAGGATCGCTAACACTGAAAAATGCTGAAGCGCCTTCTCGAGCCGCGATCCCATTACGTTGGGATTGGGGTTTTTTTAAAACGTACGTGTGACTAAATTGCGGTCGTGTGTGAATTGTTCTCTGGTGTTGCATCGATGGATCATGGAAATATGAGTGCATGGGCTCGTTCAACCTCTCAACCTTGAAGTAATATATTCTCCTTCCTGGGTCATCGAGAAAGTCCGAGATGTTATCTACGAGAGCACGATCACTATCTGAATGGAATAAATCCCCTAAAACATTTCTGGAGCAGAGAAGAGACAAAAAAGAAATGGAAGACTGAACATTGTCCAGTCTTGAATGGATTGAAACGGAAGACCCATAATGGAAGGAGACCAGGTGACCTCTGTTACCTGACTCCTTTTGCCTGAATCCTGTTGTCTGAACCCTGCTGTCTGAACCCTGTTGTCTGAACCCTGTTGTCTGAACCCTGTTGTCTGAACCCTGTTGTCTGAACCCTGTTGTCTGAACCCTGTTGTCTGACTCCTGTTGTCTGAACCCTGTTGTCTGAACCCTGTTGTCTGACTCCTGTTGTTTGAACCCTGTTGTCTGACTCCTGTTAGCTAACTTCCGTCGAGAATCATGTTGTCCTCGCTGTTCCACGTCACCACTCGAGTCACTTTCGAAAGGAATAAAATCAAAGAGGAATGCTGAGGAAGTGTCCAGAAAGTCTATCCGAATACTGTCTCCTAATACTAAACGCATAAAGCTTGGCATTCACTCACTTACATGTCTATTTCAGCGAAAGTGCGATTAAAAAAGGGAACTTCTAATGGCAGGGATGCAGAGCGCGCACGTTTACGACTTTCCGTATGATAGTGGGTAGAAGAGCAGGTGCATCATCAAATTTCTTCCAAAATACTGGGAAAGTGCTGGAAATGCCATTGACAGTTTTATAACTGTCCATGATAATGATTTCATGTGCAGGGTACGAGTTTAAGCATGGTTGGACCGACCCAACTGCACTTAATCCGGTAAAGTCTCTGGGCCATCGTGAACGATCACACTCCGAGCAGGAAGACCAGGGGGAAGACCGGGGAAGACCGGGGAAGACCGGGGAAGACCGGGGAAGACCGGGGAAGACCGGGGAAGACCGGGGGGAAGACTGGAACTGCCGTAATGAGTTCCCCGTTCCCAGCCGCCCTCAAACCTGTTCTATCGAGGGCGCACAGACGCGAGTGAAGAGACCAGGGCGAAGGAGGAGCGCTCGGCGTAAGGGTGCGAATGCACTCCGAAAGGATTAATGGAGTTCGTATCAAGGACTCCACTAATCCATTTAGAGTGCATTTGCACCCTCTTGGAGGAAATTTTGCCCCTTTTCCCTCATTTGTACCCCGAAGAGGCCACCATCTAATTCCCTCGGAATGCATTTGCAAATTGCGAGGATATACTGTACCTGCATCTTTTTGAGGCCTTTGCACGAGATGAGAAATTCATTCAATTCCTTCTAAATGAATATTCCCTTTTGGAATGCCTCTGGAACCTTGCATACCAATGAACATCTTCATGAGGAAGGCAACATGCAATTCCTTCGCTTGGTACGTGATGCCATAAGTCCTCTCAGAGAGAGAACTTCGCTTCTTGCTTTCTTCATCATGCATCTTAAGCGAATCCCATCGAGTGTACGACCTATGGGAGAACGAACCGGATGGTGACAGTCCGCACCACACTCATTTCGGAAAAGCGTGCTTTTTGCCTGCCAGAACGTAGCATGGACTCCAGTCTTTGCCGATAGGACATGAAAGAAGAGGGACTTCACTCGCAAGCGCTTATGCAGCATCGATTCATAGCTATTCCAAGCGACAGTGCTCTGTGCAAGGGGCGACCAACATTTTATTTGAAAAGTATTATTTCTGAAAGTATAATAATATTTCGCGAGGTCAGGTCAATGCACTAGTTCAGAATTAGAGCGGAATTGAAGCATCTTTTCTGGGCATGCTATGAGAAAATCTGACTAGGGCCATGTAAAATAAGACTATTACATATGATCTTGACACAATGCGTGACGTGTCCTGAGCAGTGCATCATACTCTTCATTGATTTTCGCAGCATGCATTTATTGAATTCTCCATGTTCACTACAAGTGCTACATTTGTAGTCAGTGTTCGCTTGAGACGTCAAGATACTTGATGACGTGATTTCATGAAATGCCTGAATTTATTAACCTCCCTCAGTCACACCTAACCGTCGTAGACGACACACAACATTGACACAGTAAAAAACAGTTGGAAGTATAAAAATCGAATTCAAGGAAATCTACGCCATGAACCAGATTGATGCTAAAAGGTTTGCATATGAGCACTCATTTGGAAACGACGTACCCAGAAAGGTCGGATGATTTTCCTGACGCGGTTGAGAATTGCACAGCATGGATGAACGTATAACGCTCGAAGTTAATTTTCAATTTCATTGCGGCGCCGGTCTGATCCTAGGAAACCAAGATTGCCCCCAGAGGAGGAATGTTCCATTCGATCCAAGCCTGATCTAAGCCTGATCCAAGCCTGATCTAGGTTGGCCCAGGCGCCACGATCTGATATTGGTCGAGGGGAAATGAGGAAAGCGAGAAGAATTTTCCCCCCGACCATTCCGTTTGTTTCTTCTGCCGTACTTTCCGACGTGAAAGCTTCCGATTCTTCTGACATTTCATGGTAAGAGTATTGGAATTGGATCTTTACAATTCAGTGCATGAATTCTAGACACATGACACTCACCCATCAAGAAAAGGGGGAAATAAAGACCCTGTCATTCGCACTCCAGAAACTGGCACTGAAAGATCTCTTAGTTGCACGCAATATCTCTTTTGCTTTTTTTCCACTGTTAGTCAGGAGCAGATCCATTGATCCCTGATCCAAGAGAAACTCTGTGATGACATTCGCCGATAAGGTCTCTCTCTTTCTCTCTTGCTTCCCGGAAAGGGAGAGATGAGATGGGGAAAGTAGGTTGGGCAGAACGAGAGAACTTTCTTTTGTCTCAGATCTTACCCTATACCAAGATGAGATAGTGCATCGGGGTGGATGGATATGCATGTTTCTATGCATAGTGCACAGAAACTAGGGACTGGGAAGTACCTACGGTGATTTTCGAACGTGAACACGGAAAATATTAACGTCGTCTGTG